AGGTGCTGGCGCAAGCCTGGGGGGCGGCCCCGCCAGAGTTGCTGCCCGACCAGTCTGCGAGGGCGGGCGAGGATTTTGCGGCGGCCCTTGGGCTCGCGCAGATTCTGGGCAACGTCGCCCTCCCCAGCGACTGCAAGGGCACGGTCGACTGCGTCGAGAACCTCCCTCGAGCGCAGGGGCCCACCTCGCTGCGCGCCCATTTGCGGGCCAGGGCGGGCGACGCGGCCGAAGGGGTCACGGCGGAGCGCATCCCTGCTCATTCCTCGCAGGAGGCGGTCCACATGGGCGCGATCGCGGCGCTGGAGCGGGGCGGGCCGCGGAGGGAGCGGCCCTGCTGGCGGCATCCGACGAGGACGTCCTGGTGCTAGAGGGCCTGCTGGAAAGAGCTCGTGGGGCGGCCCGCTTCGCGGCGGAGGTCAAGGTCTACGTCGCGGAGCAGGGCTGTCGCGATTGCTGGCCGACTGATGCGCTGGGCGACATCGACCTCGGCGGCCTCGGCTGGCCACGGGGCGCGGAGGCAGAGGCGGGCGCGGCGGGCAGCGGAGCTGGGCTGGCGGCGGCTGCAGGGGCTGCGGCGCTGGCGGCGGCAGCGGCCTCGAGCTCGGCCCCCGGTGCGGCCTGCCCCTCCGCGGCCCCGAGAGGAAGGGGCACCGGTCTTCCATCCCAGTGCTCGGGCCAAGGGGGCGGCCGAGGGGCGGCGCTCCGCAAGCGGCCTGCGGCAGCTCCGCGGGCCAGCGCGCCTGTCGAGCAACGGCCGCCAGCGGGCGAGTCGGCGGGCGATGCCATGCGCCGCGTCGCACGTGTGCCGCAGCTGGAGCGGGCTCAGGCCAGCGCGGCGGCAGCGCAGATCCCCGAGGCCCAGCCTGCGGAGGGCCAGGTGCTGCAGGGTGCGGCGGCTGAGGTGTCGCCTGCGCCCGATGGCAGCTGTGGGGGGCCGTGGGCGGTCCGCGGGCATCAGCTCATGGGGGGGTAGGTGCTCGCCAGCGCTGCCGAGCCCTTCCTCGTCTTCACAGCGTGCTACATGTGCGCCCGTGCCCCCAGGGTGGCCTGGGAGGGGCTTCGGGACGAGTGCAGCGGGGCAGAGCAGCGGGTCGGGACTGGCTCGCGGGCCTGGGCGCGGCGCGACCGGGCCGAGAGGTTGCGGCCTGGGTCCGAGGAGGCCATCGGCGAGCTGGCGCCGCCCCCGGCGGCCACGAGGATGCGCTGGGCGGCGAAGCTCGGCGTCGCCGAGTGGGCTGACCGGGAGGCCCGCCCAGGCGCGGCCAGCTGTGGTGCTGGCAGGCCCAGCCGCCCGAGCCCGCGGGGGGCGGCCGCGGGCCAAGCGCGGGTGAGTCCTCGCGCCAGCGCCAGTGCGACGGAGCCACGCTGATCCTGCCGCCGCTGGAGAGCGTCGCTAGGGCCCGCGGATTTGGGTCCCTGGAGGCGGCGCGGGGCCGTGGCCGCGAGGCCCGCGGCGCGCGCGCGGCCGCAGTGCGCGGGGGCGGCGGGCCCCAGGAGGGCGAGCCAGGGCCTTGAGCGGCTCGCTCCTGGGTGCCCCACCCGCGCCATGCACGCTCGAATGTGACAAGGGCGCCCGTGCGCCTGCGAAGAGTTTTATGTATATCTATATAAGAGTTTGAATGCCCTCACCGTGTTGTATTGAGCGAAAATTGGTTCTTACGCGAGATGGCGTGACGACCTTGCGCGGTGACCCACGTGGGCCACCAGCGCGGCACGCTACATTGGAAACGATGGCGCTTGCGGTCGACCTTGCGCCGGCAACGTACGCCCGAACGTCCGCGCAGTCGAAACTGTGTTTCTGCGTCGCTCAATTGCTTCTGTCTGCCTGTTCTACGCTTGGCTTTGGCACTCGTTGGTGGTCGTTCTCAACCTGGCCACCAGCTCCTCGAGCTCATCGCTACGCAGAGGTACTTTCACGAACGTGCGCATCTGCTCGCCGTAGGGTCGGTGCACATGCACAGCCTCAGTGTCGCTCCGTGCATTCACCCATGTATCACTCGTACAGACATGCATGTAATGACAGCCCGGTCCTGGATCCACCTTTGGATGGCGGACGTAGTGGGGATAATTTCCCTGTTCCCTGCGCCTCAAAACCGCCTGCGAATGATGTGCCGATGTCGGGTCTGGGTGCAAGCAAGGTGTAGCGTGTTGCAGTAGCAGTAGCATCTTCAGTAGCAGTCGCAGTCGCAGTACCAGCAGGGGTGGCAGTGGCAGTAGTAGTCGTAGTAGTCGTAGTAGTAGTAGTAGTCGTAGTAGTAGTAGTAGTAGTAGTAGTAGTAGTAGTAGTAGTAGTAGTAGTAGTAGTAGTAGTAGTAGTAGTAGTAGTAGTAGTAGTAGTAGTAGTAGTAGTAGTAGTAGTAGTAGTAGTAGTAGTAGTAGTAGTAGTAGTAGTAGTAGTAGTAGCAGACGCAGTAGCAGTATCTGTAACAGTAGCAGTAACACTAACAACAGCAGCCACATTAACCGTTGCAGTAGCAGTCGCAGTGGCAGCAAGAGTAGCACTAGCAGTAACAGCAGCAGCAGTAGTAAGAGTAGAAGTATTTGTAGTATTAGTACTATTAGTCGCAGTCGTAGTAGTAGTAGTAGTAGTAGTAGTAGTAGTAGTAGTAGTAGTAGTAGTAGTAGTAGTATATAGTAGTAGTAGTAGTAGTAGTAGTAGTAGTCGTAGTAGTAGTAGTAGTAGTAGTAGTAGTAGTAGTAGTAGTAGTAGTAGTAGTAGTAGTAGTAGTAGTAGTAGTAGTAGTAGTAGTAGTAGTAGTAGTAATTATTGTAGTAGTAGTAGTAGTAGTAGTACTCGCAGTCGTAGTCGTAGTTCTCGTAGCATTAGTAGTCATAGTAGTAGTGCTGGTCGTGAGAGTAGTCGTCGTAGTTGTAGTGGTCTTAGTCGTAGTCGTAGTAGTAAAGTGGCCGTGGTTGGTAATGGTTGCGGCGGTAGTTTTGAGGGTAGTAGGTGTATTAGTCGCAGTAGTCGTAGTAGTAGTCGTAGTAGTGATGGTAGTAGTAGTAGTAGTAGCAGTAGTAGTAGTAGTTAGTAGCAGCACAGTAGTAGTAGTAGTAGCAGCAGCAGTAGTAGTAGTAGTAGTAGTAGTAGTAGTAGTAGTAGTAGTAGTAGTAGTAGTAGTAGTAGTAGTAGTAGTAGTAGTAGTAGTTAGTAGTAGTAGTAGTAGTAGTAGTAGTAGTAGTAGTAGTAGTAGTAGTAGTAGTAGTAGTAGTAGTAGTAGTAGCGTAGCAGGTAAGTAGTAGTATAGTAGAGGAGAGTAGTAGGAGGAGGAGGTGGAGGAGGGGAGGAGGAGGAGGAGGAGGAGGAGGAGGAGTCGTAGTAGTAGCCATTGTAGTGGTCGTAGTCCTCGTGGAAGGTCTGCTGGCCGAAATCGTCGTCGACGCCGCAATGGCCAGCCTCTGCCTGGGCCAGCGTCCCGAGGAGCTCCCTCAAGATCGTCATGGCCCTCTTCACCTTGATGTCGTCCAACGGGCCCTCTTCCTCCTGAATGGGGTCCAGCGGCGGGTCACCCTGCGACGCCACCTTCCCATGCGCGAGTGGAAGTTGAAGCAAATGTGGGGGTTTTAGGCGGTATACCCCCTGCTTGCTCCTCACACTTCTTGACAAGCTGGCCCTTGGAGACGACCGTGCCGACCACCACTTCCGTGGCGAGCCGCCTGGCCGCAGCCACCTGCTGCTCCTTGTTGAAGACCTCCGCGTTCTCCCTCAGGACGCCGAGGGACGGGCAAGGCGGAGTCTCCGCCAGCTTCATTAGTATGTCCACCACCTGCCTGCTGTCGTACCAGTCCAGCAGCTCGTCGTCCGACGTGTCGCTGTCCTCGCGGTACTCCAGCTCGTCGTTGTCGGCCAGCCCGTAGCACTCCAGCGTGACGCCGCCGACCTCAGGAAGCGTGTCCCGCTCCTTCAGTCCACCTCTTTGGCCGAGGGCGACCGTGAGCAATGCTTCCTCCTGCGTTCATTCTCCTTCTTGTCCTTCTTGTCCTTCTTGTCCTTGGGGAACCCCGTCGCGGCCGAGCCACTCTTCGGCCTGGCGCCCACCCATGATGATGGCGGTCCCGAGCGGGTCCATGGAGTCGAGGCAGCCGACGCCGATGTCGATGACTTTATCCTCGGGGACCGCGAGCGCGAGCAAGGCCTCGCTATCTTTGCCCAGCGCGACCAGCGCGTGCTCACCTTCAGCGTCTCCACCTCCTGGTGCTCCCAGTTGCCTGGAGGAGGCGAGGGCGTCTTGACCTCCACCTCGCCGTCCAGGATGGCCTTCAACGGTTCCGACGATGGCTTGATCGTCGACGGCCTTGGTTGCGGGCGAGACTTGGCAGGCGTCGTAGCAGCACGCACCGCCGCCGACACCGCCGCCGCTACAGCCGTCTCCACCAGGTAGAGCGCCTCCACGTGCCCAGCGCCAGCGAAGCGAGACAGGCTCCGCGTCACCGGCGCCGCCGGTTGCCGCCAGGGCAAAGAGGCGCGCCATGACATGACCCGCGCAGACGCGCCGCTCCCAATCACGCCTGCGCACCTCGGGGGATACCGAGGGGGACGGCTTGAGCCAAAATGGCTTGAGCCAAAATGGCTACGGAGGAGGAGGAGGAGGAGGAGGCGGAGGCGGAGGCGGAGGCGGAGGCGGAGGCGGATGCGGAGACTGAGGCGGAGATGGAGGAGGAGGAGAGGAGGAGGGGGAGGAGGAGGAGGAGGAGGAGGAGGAGGGAGGAGGGGGAGGAGGAGGAGAGCGGAGGCGGAGGCGGAGGAGGAGGAGGAGGAGGAGGAGGAGGAGGAGGAGGAGGAGGAGGAGGAGGAGGAGGAGGAGGAGGTGTGAAGATTAGTGCAGTATATGAGCATATGTTGGCCCAGAAGAGAGGGGTCAGAGTGCAAGCAGACAGCGTCTATCTGAAGCCCCTTTTGGTCCGAGGAGAGACAAAACATTTAGATGGTAGCGGAGCCGTGAGGCTCCACGCGACCTTCCTTACCTGAGTGGGCCCACGGCGCATTTCCTTCCGATCCAATGGAGCAGATGATCCAGCAGCTGCAGGATCAGGTGGCGACGCTACAGCAACGGCAACAGCCTATGGAAGAGATGGTCCAGCAGCTGCAGCGCCAGCGACAAGAGATCGATCGACTTCAAGCTGCAGAGCGAGAGGCGCTGCAGCAACAACAGCAACAGGATGTACGTATGGACGAGCTGAGGGCCGTGGCCAGAGGGAACATGAAGACGGTCATTGATACGAAGAGCCTGGGCAAGCCGAAAGACTTCGATAACAAGGAAGAGCACTGGCAGGAGTTCGCTTTCAAGTATGAGAACTGGATCAGCGGTATCGAGCCTCAGGCGCGGCTGTACCTCCGGTGGGCCGAGCTGAGCGGCGAGGAGATTGACGACCTCGACCTGGATGACCCGCCGGACGCGCTCAGCCAGGATGAGATCCGGCACCTTGGGAGGCAGGTGTACGTATCCTTGGCGCAGATGCTCACCGGCGAGTCGCTGGACGTCCTGAGGAACGGCCGTGAGGACAATGGCTTCGACGCGTGGCGTCGGCTGTGGAGGCGCTGGGACCCGAAGACTGTCGGACGCAACAGGGCAGCGTACCTCAAGATCGCGCAGCCGGGCACAGCGAAGACGGTGGAGCAGGCGTCCAAAATGCTGGAGCAGTGGGAAGCGCAGATCCGCGACTACGAGGCTAAGAGGAAGAAGGTAGTTGACGAAGAGCTCAAGTGCGCGGTGCTGACGGAGATGATGCCTAAAGAGCTGCGACTTCACCTCCAGCTCAACGCGAGGGCGCTCACGGACTACTCCACGATTAGGCAGGAGGTGCTGTCGTTCCTCGAGGCCAGGAAGAGTCACATTGGCGATGGCTCAGCCCCGATGGACGTCGACGCTCTGCAAAGGAAGGGCAAAGACAAGAGCGGCAAGGGCAAGGACAACAAAGGCAAGGGCAAGGACACTGACCACTCCCACAGCAAGAAGAACGTGACGTGCTGGAACTGCGGCAAACCAGGGCACACGAGCAGCGAGTGCTGGTCGAAGCCGCAGGCAGACCACGACAAGAACAAGGCCCGTGGCAAGGGCAAGGACAACAAAGGCAAGGGCAAGGACTCCAAGGGCAACAAGGGCAAATACGGTGGCAAGGGGACCTCCCAGAACCACATCCAGGGCTACTGCGACAAGTGCGGGAAGTGGGGCCACCGCGGCCAGGATTGCTGGGGTTCCAAGACTACGAACTCGCTGGAGACAGGTGATCAGCCGGAGCCTGAGATCGGCGGCTTCGACATCTGCGCGCTCGACGGGTACGGCACGGACGAGACGGCCAAGGATATGCAGCGCTACAAGGATGTGAACAGCTACACGATCGAGGCGACGGTGGACTCGGGCGCGGCGGTCAGCGTGATGCCAGTGAGTACGTGCCAGGAGTACAAGGTGAGGCCGAGCGAGGCATCCCGCAGAGGAGTCCGCTATCGGGCAGATGGAGGCCAGATGATCTCGGACCTCGGCACGCGCGTGGTGAACATCCATGCGGGAGGTAGCGATGGCGGCATGGCTCGGGTGTCGTGCTCGGTGGCCGAGGTGAAGAAGGTGCTCCTGAGCGTGGCCAAGATGGTGGACCAGGGCAACAGAGTGACGTTCGGCCCGGATGAGGGCGACAACTACATCGAGAACATCGCCACCGGAGTCAGGATCCCCGTCAGGCGCAAGAACGACGTGTACGTGATGGACATGGAGATCCAGCCGCCGAAGCAGCACGAGAAGTCGATGATGCTCGCAGCGGTGGATTCGGCCCAGTCGCTGGGGGGCCGGAGGCAGGCCGCGATGCCGTAAGTCCGCCCAGCAGTGAGGACGAGGAGGCTCGGCGCTGGGTGACGCCTGAATTCGAGGGCGGCAGCAGCGGGTCGGGCCAGGCAGCGGCGCCGGGCGAGCCCGGGCCGGGAGCGGAGGACGGCCGCATCATCGAGATGGAGGCCGACGAGGAGGCGGCGGTGCCTGCGCGGGTCGTCCGGGACCCGGAGGCGCCAACCAAGGAGGATCGAGCAGCACAACATCGGGCACATCCCGTACAGGAGCTGGTGCAGGCACTGCGTGATGGGCCGAGGCAGGAGTGCAGCCCACCGCAAGCTCGAGGCGGAGAAGTCGCACGTGATCCCCACGGTCGGTCACGACTACGGCTTCCTCGGGCGAGACGATAATCTTGCGATGCCTATGTTGGTGGGCAAGAGCTTCCGAACGCTGTGGCTCGGAGCCGCGATCGTCCCGTGTAAGGGAGACGCGAGCGAGTGCAGTGTCGGGGTCATGAGCGGCCAGATCAAGCAGATGGGTCATTCCAACTTCATCCACAAGACGGACCAGGAGTCATCGTTGAGGGCGCTGAAGGAGTCAGCGCGCCAGGCCCTGGGGACTGCGTGCAGCGTGGTCTCGGAGGAGGCTCCGCGCGGCAGCAAGGAGTCGAACGGTGCGATGGAGAACGGCGTGATGCAGATCGAGGGCCTGGTGCGGACGCACAGGGGCGCGCTGTAGATCTCGCAGGGCATCAAGGTCGAGCACGAGTCGGCGCTTGTGCCTTGGCTGGTGCTGTGGGCGGCGTACGTCTACAACCGGTTCTCCAGGGGCGTCAACGGGAAGACGCCCTACGAGAAGACGAAGGGCAAGCCGTTTCGACGTGAGCTACTGCCTTTCGGTGAGCGCATCTACTGGCTCCCGGCTGACAAGAGCAAGAAGCGTGGCGACGCGCAGGGCATGAACAAGCTGGAGAACAAGTGGCGGACGGATCACTTCCCGGGCGTCCAGGAGGGCAACGACGAGGCGTTTGTTAGTGATGAGAGCGGCGGCGTCTACCGAACCAGGAGCATGAAGAGACTCCCAGAGGTGATGCGCAAGTCGCCGGAGACGATCCTCAAGGTCAAGGGCGTGCCCTGGAACCGGACGCCAGAGGAGGTGCCGGCGCCTCGAGTACGAGTGGAAGTTGGACGACCAGATCCACCACCAGACGCACCGCCGGTGATCGAGCTACCACCGGAGCCGATAGCGGTTCGGCGGAGAACGTACGTCACCAAGGCCATGATTGAGAAGTACGGTTTCACGCCAGGGTGCCGAGGGTGCGAGGCTTTGCTCATCCACGGCGCGACGCACGTGAGCGGAGGCGGAGTTGCGCGCTCGGATTTCTGCCGAGCGCGTATCGAGGCGGCAGGGCAGCGAGCGCCAGCTGCACCCGCAGCAGCGCCCGGCCCGCCGGCAGCGTCGGCGGAGCCGGCAGGAAGTGCTGCCCAGGCCCCAGAGGCAGCCGAGGGATCACCCATGGAGGTGGAGGCGCAGCTGGCACCGCAGGGCAGCAGCGCAGAACCCGCACAAGGAGCCCAGATGGAGGGCGTGCGAGGGGGTCAGAAGCGTAGGGCTAGCGAGGAGTTGCAGCAGGACGAGGTCAGGCAGCACGAGGTGGTCGAGGAGATCAGCGTGCCGGCGGCCAGGGCGGACTACCTGGAGAGCGGCAGGATGCTGAGCGCGCTGGGCTACGACGTCCACGTGAGCGAGGTGTACAACCCGGAGAGGTTCAAGGAGGAGGCCGAGGCGATGGGTCTTGCCTTCGGCCACGCGTTCGACCTGCAGCTCCAGAAGCCGGACGGAGGAGGTCCGTGGGATTTCTCCCAGCCGCAGGACCGAGTGCTGGCGAAGGAGATCTTGAAGGTCAAGAGGCCGCTCCTGGTGATCGGGAGCCCGACGTGCAGGATGTTCAGCTCGCTGATTACCTTCAACCGGAAACACTACAGCAGCGAGGACTGGGAGACGATGAAGCAGGACGCGATCAGCCACCTCGAGTTCGTGTGCGAGCTCTACCGGTGGCAGGACGACGCCGGACGGTTCTGGCTCCATGAGCACCCGGACCGTGCGACATCATGGCAGGAAGAGTGCGTGAAGGAGCTGCTGAGCAGCGAGAGCACCAAGAGGGTGCGCAGCGACATGTGCCAGTTCGGCATGACGGCGCTCGACGTCGACGGCAGCTGGCAGCCGGTGGTCAAGCCTACAGGATGGGCCACTAACTCTGACCAGATTGCGAAGCAGCTGGCAAGGAGGTGTACGAACAAGGAGGAGCCTCCGTGGCGACAGCACCGCCACGTCGAGTTGGTCGGGAACAAGGCGAAGGGCTGCGAGGTCTACCCGATTGAGTTGGTTCGAGCGATCCTTCATGGGCTGGTGGACGAGCTGAAAGACCGCGGTGAGTGGCACGAGGGCGAGCTCGGGACGGTCGACGCGGAAGAGAAGGAGCCGGAGTGGGACGACCACCAGGAGCTCTGGGCGCCCAGCAGCGGGCGCGACGTCTACGACTCGCTCACAGGTCTAAAGCTGGACCCGACCCTGGTGGCGGAGGCCAAGCAGGACGAGCTCAAGGAGATCAGGGCGTTCGGGGTCTACGAGAAGGTCCCCGTCCAGCAGTGCTTGGACGAGACGGGAGCGGCGCCCATCGGCGTCACGTGGGTGTGCGTCAACAAGGGCGACGACGAGAAGCCTGACGTGCGCGCTAGGCTGTGTGCGCAGGAGATCAAAGCGAAGGACCCGGCACGAGAGGGGGTCTTCGCCCCGACGCCGCCGATCGAGTGCCTCAAGCTGCTGTTCAGCCTAGGCATGACGGAGGAGGAGAACAAGGACGAGCCCGACGCGTTCATGGTACTGGACGCGACCAGGGCTCATTCCCACAGCCCGGCGACCCGACGGGTTTTTGTGCGGTTGTGTGACGAGGACTACCAGGAGGGCTACTGCGCCCTGCTTCGGAAGAGCATGTACGGGACCAGAGATGCGGCGGCGAACTGGGAGCTGTTCTCATTGACAGTTGCTCGGGATCACGCCGGCCTCAAGCCTGGAGCAGCGAACCCGTGCCTGCTCTGGAACGAGAAGCTTCGCGTGAGGTGCTTCAAGCACGGGGGCGACTTCGTGCTGGGAGGCAGGCGCGAGTCGATCAGGCAGGTCAAGGAGGAGCTAGGCAAGCACATCAAGCTCAAGGAGAAGGGCGTGCTCGGGTTACACCCGGAGTTGGGGGACACGCAGGAGGTTCGGATCCTGAATCGTCTCGTGTCCATGAAGATGAAGGAGGGCAAGCAGGTGCTCACCGTGGAGGCAGACCCGAGGCACGCGGCGTTGATCATCGAGGAGCTGGGGCTGAAAGGCGCCAGTAAGAGGCGTTCGACGCCAGGGGAGAAAACGTCCGGTGTGCCAGACCTGACGCCGATCAAGGATTAGATCGAGGTGCGGAGGTTCCGGTCGCTGACCATGCGGGCTCACTACTTGGCGGAGGACAGGTACGACCTGAAGTTCGCGAGCAAGGAGCTGGCGCGCGAGATGAAGGGCCCGACGGTGTCGGGCATGGCCAAGCTCAAGCACCTCGGCCGGTTCTTGCTCAAGAAGACTAGATGCGTGCAGGAGTTCGCGTGGCAGGACCAGCAGCACAAGCTGGTGACGTACTGCGACTCCAACTGGGGCGGGTGCGTGGTCACCAGAACGAGTACGACGAGTGGATGCGTGCAGCATGGCAGCCACAGCATCAAGCAGTACAGTTCGACGCAGCAGACCCCGTCGTTGAGCAGCGGCGAGGCGGAGTTCAACGCGTGTGTGAAGGCGGCTGCGGTGTGCCTCGGAGCTCAGGCCTACGCGGCGGACCTGGGTGCTACGCTGGTGGCGTCTATCGGCACGGACTCCAGCGCGGCGCTTGGCATGATGAAGAGGTCGGGGCTAGGTCGAGTCAGACACATCGCGGTGCCGCTGTTGTGGATTCAGGATGCAGTCCGTGAATCCCGAATCAGAGTCTTCAAGCAGAAAGGCCTCGAGAACGTGGCGGACGCTGGCACGAAGTACCTGAGCGGACCGAAGCTGGAGGCGATCATGGAGCGCCTCGGTTTCGTGTACCAGGCCGGAGAGAGTGCTCTGGGCTTCCGTGTGCAGCGGGGCGTAGGGGTTTGAGCGGGCTGCGGCGTACAGTGCGCGGGTGCGAGCACGGTGAATGACCGATGCCCTGCCCGCGAGGAGGAGTGTGAGGATTAGTGCAGTATATGAGCACATGTTGGCCCAGAAGAGAGGGGTCAGAGTGCAAGCAGACAGCGTCTATCTGAAGCCCCTTTTGGTCCGAGGAGAGACAAAACATTTAGAGGAGGAGGAGGAGGAGGAGGAGGA